ATAAATTAAAAAGTTGTGACAGGCCTGCACGACTCCCACAGTACGCAAATGTGTATTATTTGCCTTTAGAGTTCTCCATGTACTTATGCATTGTTTAGGCTCATTTATATTACAAAATTTGTTCAAGTCTCTAAGTATTTGCTTTCAAGAGACAGAATACAAAACTTTCCGTAAACATTTTGCTTACTTGCATTCTTTATCATGACGCTGGGCCTGGCTGTGATTAGAACTGTTTGCAAGCAGTAGGTAGATTCTTATCGTGGATATCATATTATTTGTCCATTTGTTTTTCTTCGGAGATGCCGTAGCTTTACTTTGAAAAAGCTATATGTTTCTCTGATACACTCTGATGTTTCTTGCAGCCATCTGATCGAGCTTATGTTTCTCAAACTCGCTGTATAGATTTATTCCTCCCTTTGGTCTTTCTGGGACCACATGATTCAAATGTAGTTGTTTTACGCACAAGTCTGTTGACTGTTTTGTGTGTTGTAAATGCGTGTTGTATATGCCATTGTTCAGCTTAGTTACTCCAAAATGACAGGACTTGTCAGTGGGTAATTAAAACAATTAACGTGTAGTAAACTTCAACATCCAATAACTTTGCACTGAAATATTTTTTTGTGGAATTTTTTTTAAAAGAAAGCTCTTGAAAAGCTTTATCTGAACGTATCGAAAACACAAATTTTGAAAATTCACACTTTGAACCCTGGCTGATACCTTAAATGGCACTACTTACCAGGTCTGGTTGAAATACAAGAATATTTCTTGCAGATAAGTCACGATGGACTAAATTCTGTCTGGCCAAGTAGTCCATGCCTTGTGCAACCTGATGAGCAAATTTACTTAACGCAGACACCCTGCAAACATCCTTGTCTTTCTTTTGGAGCTTCTCTTCCAGGGAACCATAAGAGGCAAACTCTGTCACCTGTGGAAAAAAATTGTTTTAATAAAAGAATCCATGGCGTAATTGCCATAAATAATTATACTAATTCAGATAACTGCAATTATTATATAGCACATGTATTCTAGTCTTCCTCCCAAGAAAATATGAAGCTCATTCAATAGTTAATGTATCTATAGGCCTGTGGAGACTTATAAAATCTGCTTTCCAACCAGGTGTTAAATCATATATATAAATTATCAGATAAATGAGCACTGAATGGCTGACTTTGATGGATTTCCAAAGATATGAAGTACATGGGTGTTTCCAAACATTAATATTTTCAAGACTTTGCTGACAATTTCCAAAGATTGGTACATGTATTGACTTTTGAAGATTCCTGACTCTTGACTTCATATGTCTAACAAATTTTAACACCTTAAACATGTAAACAAGGAACCTCTCTTGACTTCAGGAAACCACACATGATGTCCCACTCATTGATTTTTCTTCCGATAATTCACTGCTGCATTAGTTTATATTTAAGAAATAGAAAACATGTACTGCGTTTCTATCGAGTTTTAGTATAAATCTACTAGCATTCTATCATGAATGCCGTTCTCTGATTGGCTACGCTACAAGTAAATTTCACTATCTATTCTGTGATAGATAGTGAGTAGCGTAGCAGTGTGCCCTTGTTAACAAAATTACGGCCGCTTCTTGGCGTTTTTGAAGTGTCTGTGAAGAGGATTTTGATGAAGTTTTGAACGACTAGTAGATTTACACCAAAAAAATTAGATTATTTGCTTATTCGATTATTCGATTTCTATCACGCGATAGTTGACTCGGGCTGCACCCTCGTCAACTATCACGCGATAGAAATCTTGAGCTCATAATCTAATATTATTGTTTAATAGAAACACAAGTGAAAGTTTGGGAGAACGAGAAATGCTGTGGGAACACGAGCCGCAAGCGAGTGTTTCCACAGCTTTTTCGAGTTCTCCCAAACTTTCATGAGTGTTTCTGTAACTTGATACAGGTTTTCTGTTTCTTTTAAAAAACACAGCGACGAAAAAAGGAAAACAACTTGTTAGCTTTGATTATCAAAATGTAAATTCACACCATCATTATGTCAACAGCTCACGTGAGTTCTGTGTTTCTATCGAGTTATAGAAACAGGATTTTAAACCAATCAGCGCTTGTATTTCCTAGGGCTGTTTTCTAATACATTTTGCAGTCAAACCTGTGCTATTGGACATCTCTTCTGTACTACCTTTAAACCTTTCATTATTGAGCCCTTATTAAATGCTCCGCGTATTAAATGCTCCTTATTAAATGTGCACTCTGAACATATTACATATTTTAACCTCCCATGGACAGACACCTAATGTCCCAAGTGGACACTTTCAGTGCCTCCAATAAGATAATTTTGCAACTGGAAGGTGACTGTCCTGGAACCCATAAGAGAACAATACTGTAAGAGGGGCCATATCAACTTCCTCAAGAGGGTCAATTAACAACATAAAAGTGATTTACAACAACATACCACCACAGCTCTGACGGGTAAGGTAAAAAGGTAAAGTTTACACATGAGCCAAGTGGCCCATCACGCTGAGCTTATCTCAGTTTCTGTAGCATGAAGGTGGCTAGGAATATGCCTACTCCCCCCTGGATGGGTTCATCACAGGGTTACCCCCAACATTACATTTGCTGGTACCCATTTGTACACCTGGGTGCAGAGAGGCACTGTTCAGAGTTTACTTAAGAATCTCGCTTGAGAACACAACACAATGTCCCCCCGCCGGGGCGCGAGCCCAGACTGATTCAGAGTCAAGCATGCTAACCAGGAGGTCACTGAGCCTCCTCCTCCAAAGCTTTAGCAGGTGTTGGTCTTATTGAAAGCTCTATAAATATGCAGTCACAATTTTCTGATTCCAGTGGTGTCTCCCGACACTATATTTAGTTTAGGAGCTTACCAGCTTTAGTGGTTCTTCTCTGAAAGGAAGTGAAATGCCATACATTTTAACAATGTTATCATGAGAAAGTCTCTGCATGGTCAGAGCCTCCTCTAGGACACCTTTTAGCACTCCATCAAAAGCTGTGTTCTTCAAAGATTTGATTGCCACATTTTTCTGGTAATAAACCATAATGATTACAAAATAAATTATTCAGACATGTCTGTCAAATTAAGTAACAACACAAAACAAACTTTCGCACATCATCTACTAGACTGGAAGCTAGTAGAAACTGCCCAGATTTTCACTTGGACAAAGATATTGTATTCAATATTAAGAGATTGTTGATTGCTGCTCAATCATTCAATCTACCATGTAAATCATGATATGTAAATGTTTACAATCAATCAATGAACCCATCGGTCAGTCATCAATTAATCATGCAATCAGTCAGCCAGTTATGTAGATCTACTTAATAAGTCTGCCTGTCAGTTAGAAGTCTATCCCTCATGCAATTTGTGGCCAGGTGGTCAAGTGGCCAGTCCAACATGTTCATTTAATAAACAAACAAACAAACAAACAAACAAACAA